GGCGGGGAGGGCAGTAGGGGCAGGGAAAAGGGAAAGGGGGACGGGGCTGAGGTGGACTTACTCTGTATCTTCGCATTACTTAGTTGAATACCTGAGCAGCAGCTGTATGTCATCGATGTTCGTTGTTACGACGGCATCGGTGCAGCGCTGGCAACTTCTCCAGTCAACTCGTTGTTGCATAGAGGTGTGCCATGGGGTGCGTGCACCCCAGTGCTGGCCTCTTCTTTCTACATGACAAACGGCTTACCCACATTGGTTACACCACAATCTTCATCTTAATTTGATCTTTCTTTCCTTTATTATGTACCTATTTGTTGACTTCGGCCGACCGGTTTATTTTTCGCCTCGGCTTTTATTGACCGGTGTTTGCAGCCTTCTGGACGAGATGTTTAGAGTCTCTAATGATAGGGCCTCTACGGCCCGTACTGCCCTCCCTATTTCGCTTGATCGTGCGTGGATACCATTCCATTATCCGCTTCGTCCATCTATCTCCTTTGAAGAGAAGTTCAGCTTATCTCTGTCTCATAAGATACCTCTTGAAATATGGGGTAACGGTAAAAAAGTCCTTTTCGAAATACCATCATCAGGCGCCTTTTACGAAGGATTCAGGGATTGTGTCGATCCAGTCACGAAATCCGAGAATTCCCTTACGGTTTTTTATCGTCTGTGAAAAGGGGCTCCGTTCGCGATTCCGTCGAAACAATGATAGTCGTCGATTCTGTTGCCATCTGCGATATGAAGTTTTTTTTGCAGGAGTGTTTCCTGATTATCGCAGCGTTTCGTGATGAATCCGGAAACAAATTTCATTCGTCTGCGTGGCCTACCATTTGCTGCCAAAGAGCAAGACGTTCGAAATTTCTTGCAAGGTAAGCGATTTTCACGTGTTTTCCCCCTTCTACAAGTACCTTTTTGGTGAGTTTTATGCTGTTCAAGAGTTGCACAAAATGCATATTGTCACGGGATTGTATGTGTGTATGTGTGTGTATGTATGTGTGTGAGTATATGTGAATAGTACGTGTATGAGTGTATGTGTGTACAAGTATATCTACGTGTTTATGTGCGCATGTATGTGTGTATGTATGTGAGTGTATGTGTTCGTGTACGCATGTATATGTATGTGCGCGTGTATGTATGTGAGTGTATGTGTGTGTGTGTGTGTGTGCGTGTATTTGTGTCCGGTGTATCTTTTTTTTTTTGCTATTACTATGGTATTCGAAGTAAAATTTCGTTATTATGAGTTAGCTATTTCACTTCATTTCGGCTTACTGTTTTTGAAAACTCATCAAACTTCAAGTACAGCAGAAATGCATTGTCCCTTGTTGAGCGTCACTTGAGCGTTTTCGTGGAAGGTTTCGAAGAATAATACCAAGACTTAAGACGAAAACAGGATAGAAGATTGCAAATGCTAAAACTCGACTCGGCTCGGCCGTTTCCCTGACTACCCTGCTAATGCTGTTTCGCAGCATCGCTCTTGGCACTTTGCCAGGGGCTGCCGAGGGGGGAGGGGGGGAGGATGCTTTCGGGAGCCACAACAGACAATCCAATCTGTATGTTTTTGTTCAGGTATAATTCATTTTTCTCCTGCTTCTCAAGCTATGCGAATTGCAGATTGCTCTGAACAGTGCTGCTTTGCTTGATGTCCTGTTTACTTGCTAGTTATCTTGAGATTTTTTTGTGAAACGGTCACCACTCGAACACGTGTGTGTGTATGTGTGTGTGTATGGATGTATGGACAAGTGAACTAAGTCACTCAGTTTCAACTTCTGTGAGAATGTTTACTGTCCATGTGAAAGTCTACAAGGCTAAAATTAGCTTTTGTAAATGCCTCTTCTCTGGACGAAAATATGTGCGCGATATCCTTGATTTGGTTTTGATCATCACCAACTTGTCCTCCCCCGCCCCCCGAATGTTGCCACTCCTAGACCACGTTAAGTTGAACCAGCTGATGAAAAAAACGCATTTTTCATGGTGCCGTAGCTGTTTTTTATTAAGAGAAACAAAAGTTTGCAGGCTTAAATGCGCGTTCGATGACCTTCACGCTGACATCGAATGGACGTGCAAGTGGTGAGTGCTACGTGGAACTCGATGATACGGAAAGCGTAAAACAGGCACAGAAGTTCGATCGAAACGAAATAAATGGCCGTTACATCGAGGGTCGGTCTTTTTGGTTTTGACTCAGCCTCTGCCTTAACTGTTTATTTCAGGAATTTCTCATTTTCCTCACCTTTTTTTGAAGAAACTCAGATTTCATAGTGGGCGGATCTAGGAAGGGGGAGGGGACGGTACCCCAGAAGACTCCCTTATGATTAAATAATAGATACAAATAGATGATAAAGTAAAAGAGTACGCATACAGGATTAGTAATATACATTTTTATGGGCAAGAAAAAAGCACAAATTTTTATGTAAATTTTGTATGTGTATTATATAACTTAGGGTATAAAAACGTTACTCATAATACTCATAAGAAGAAATTGCAATCATATCGATGGAGTGACAACGAACGTCAATGATGACATACAGTTGATGTTACCACAATCATCGTACTGACGAGGTTCCAATTGTGGTAACGGTAAGAAATGTATACGATTTAATGGACCGAAACATTGCTTACCATTTACAAATATTTTAATACTTCCTTT